GGACCACATTCCGAATACAATCGAGATACCCCCGTTACCAGCGAATTTTGATTGGATCCCACGTGATGTCGATCATTCGAAAACCTCCATCACAAAAGTTTGATATTTCGGTTAGGATTTGTTCCACCGTAGAGACAGAAACTCCAGCGCACAAGTGCTTCACATGTGGCACGCTTATAATGTACACAGTACACATAAACATCAGCATACATGTACTGCAGCTATGCCGTGCACATGCAAGTGCCCCATTTATGTGCTGTGTTTCTGCACGGGATAGCAAAGAAATGTGGGACTTTGCGTGTATTGTAACGGATAGATATGGGGTCTTCTGTACGAGATATCGAGAAACTGTGAACGACATATAGAATGAACTGTATAGGACACCTGAAACTTCTGTATGGAATATCTGATATCACTGTGCGGGATACGTGTAGAATATTCATAAATAACGCACAGGATACCTCCAGGATTGTTTGTGTACTATAGGGGATACCTGTGCTTTATACTAAAATACTATGCAGGACTGGGTGTTTGTGTAGACTGATATGTTACAAATCCTGCACGTTATACAGACTGGTTTAACCAATCAGCTGGCCCCATGTTGCCTTCAATTTATCGTCTGTATTCAATTGAACCGACGAGTGTTGTTCGTCATGATACGTAAAAAAAAATTTTATTGACAGGAAGTGAGATGAGCACCAACACTGAATTCATTTAATATGCAAAAACCACATGCAAACCCAGATCGTAAGGATAGACGAAGAATCACACGCCCCTACTCCTCTCGGCCCTTCCAGGACGATTGATCGTTTGCTTGAATGTTCACTTACAATGATAATCGGATAAGTCAAAATGTTAACATTTCTTCTTTTATGCATCTCCGTGCTTGCGTATGACCCCTCAAACTCAAATTCAGTCCCTCCATCCGCACATGCTGAGATCTCATATAAGGACAAGTCAAATTTTTGATACCTAAATTAATAACTCGGAAACCAAGTAAGTCAGGAAGCTGAAATTTCGGAATAATGCTCCGGCCCGCTTACAAATTCAGCTCCTGCCCGTGCCTAATCTCCGGTAGAGGTATGCATTAATTTTACTGGGGAACCGCAAAGGGTGAAGTTTTAGCGCCAAAATTAAGATGCAACTTATCAAACAGTAATGCAGTGGACACGTTTCCTCTGAACAGAGCTGCAAAGGCATCAGCTAGACAGGGCTGTAAAAGCGTCCGCCAGGCAGAACTGCATAGCCTTTCGCTGAACTGGCTTGCACAAAACGCATGATCGCATTAGCTACCCTAGTGTGCGCCGCTACTTATTTTTATGCGTTTTTGCCGTGCGACGCTGGAGCGCTGCAACAGGCAGCAAAAATGTATACTGCAACGATCCTGTCAGTGTATGTGTGTGGATTTTTGTGTGTATGTTTGTCTTTCCGGGTATTTCAACTCGCCAACCAAGTTTTGAAGCTGAAATTTTGCCAATGTGCTCTCCGACCAAGTGACACTCCGGGACCACGGTGAAAAACCTCGCGCACGTCTGGGCCGTGCGTACGACCACGTGAAAGTTTTGGCGAGAAAACTGATAACTCAGGAATGAGAAGAGCTAAAAAGTTGGAACTTTAGGGAAGTATGACCTACTTATGTGCAACTAAAAGATTTAAAATTCAGCTGTCTAGGATTGCCCAGGACTCACGTACAAGCACGTGGAAATTTGACGGGAAAATCGCTAACTCGGGAACGAGAAAATCTAGAAAGCTGAAACTTT